GCCCGAGAACTTGATCTTTTTGCCATTAAAAATAAAGTCAATGAAAATGACTTGTGTATTGCAGTGGAAACTCGTTAACTTCAACTGGGATAACTCAAAGACAGATTTATTCTAAGCCATTTTCTTCTCCCCAATCGTCTAGCACAGGAATTTACTTGTTAAATCTGGTTAACTCAACCTTGTACAATTGTTTAACTCAAGTGGGGTTTTGACACACTATTTTCATAAACTTTAATTACAGGTATACCTAACCTTACGTCAGTAATTGGTTCCAGGAGAGGCGACTTAAGTTGAATTTACTTGTCTCCGAATTTATTTATCACTAAGCTGAATCACAAATAACCATTCCCAGTTCTGCATTTTATTTATAATGCATTTTTAATATAATATGGTTAATAAGAATCTATTCTAAGTTTACAAACAAATAAATTTTAGTTTTTAATATAGTACAGAAAAGAAGTAAACTAAATTTACGAATACATGTCCGTACCTACTTTTAAATGTATTACATGTTTACAGTACATCGCAGACTCTCTGTGAATGTGGTTTGCTCTAAAACATTATAAGACGATTTTGTAAGGTTAAATAACAAATACAAATATTTAAATTATTTTGTAAGGAACCAAGTCCGAACGTTATTTTTATTTACTTTTATTTTGCTTATTATTCTATTTTTTTTGGGGCTTATGTTTTGTTAGGACGAAGGTTTCCTCACCATTCACCTTAGTAACTTAAAAATAGAAGAGAAACCAACTCACCGACGAAAGAAAAGCGCCGTAGAAAAACTCGCGCACACTTGCGCTTCCCGAGCGGAAAAAAGTAAGTCTGCACCGACGAAAAGGGGCGGGAGACCCCACAACCCAGTTAGGAATCGCTAAATCTTAAAAGAATAAAGCATCCCGAAAATTGTCAAAAAGAATAATGTAAAAGGTTAGCAAAGTATTGTCGGAAAATAAGCTGCCAGATAAACGAAAAAAATTTAATGTTACAGATAAGTATGTAAATGAGGAGAGTGAGCTCATTCAGAATTGTGACGTCACCTCACACTATAAAGCCTCTAACTCAAGTGAAAACGAACGAGGTGAATTCCTGATAGCAACGAGCTTTGGTGAGCTTCGTAGCAGTGAACGAGAGAGGTGTCCGATAGGATTTTGAAGTTATTCGATTTGTGGATCGACGATTATAGAAAGTCTTGAGAGTTTGAGGAAATAGGTTCCTAGTATATTGAGGTGACGATTAGGATCTTTAATTTATAAGAATTATTGTTTATAAGTTAATTCTTTGATTTTGTCGAATTCCAAAGGGGAATAGAATTAAGTTAGAAATAGATTGATTTGAGTTTGTCAGTTTGATTCTTGTTGAATTTCATTGAATAAATTTATTGTTTGATTTTTACTACATACTGTATATAGTTTATTACTAGAAGTTTAATTAAATATTTGATTTTGTTATTGACAAACTTTGTCATTATTTAATTTGGTGCACGCTTAAAGTCCAGGCCTGGCACACTAACGCGAATCCGTGTAAAGTACCCGTTAGGGAACGGCTATTTCCGGCACAGTAGTATCAATAATCGTTGGAAAAGTCGGAAAAATAATATAGTACTTTACAATTTTGCAACTAATTTATGTTAAATTTACCAATATCGAGTGGTGCTGACACCACCACCACCAATCTCTAGATATTGGAACTACCTTGGAAAATGCCAATATTCAGCTTTTAAAAAGACTACTAAATAAGACAACACAGTCACAGATGTTTTCATATTTTGTTCTCTAGGATTTATGATGATTATACTAATATTCTCTGTAAATGTACATATTTTAATATGATTTTATGTACTTTTAATGCTTTTATACTTATATTATGACTTAAATATTTGTGGTAGACAAACATAGTCAAAATGACTTAAACTTGATTATTTTTCCATGTAATTTTTTCACAAACGACATAAATGAGAACGACTTAACTCGAAACAACACAATCCTAGGTATACGTCTATTTTATCTAAATTAAAATTCTGTAATGTTTGTCTATCAAATAAACTAATCAGAAACATTCTGTATAGCACAGAAAATAAGTAAAACTAAAAATAAACATTGTATCATGTGACGGCAGACTGGGAATGGCAACTTCAGTTGTTATGTTGACATCAGGTGTCAGCTCTCTCAGTTTAAAAATTTTTTGTTTTATTTGATTGCTGATGGATATCTCATTATCTGCCATAATACAGAAAAATTTCTGACTAATCATTTTTTTAAATTATTGTTGTGTATATTTGTAAACTATATGTAGAGTGCCTACATAGAAATACATGGCCATCTATTTCACCCTGCTTCAAAAGACATTAGAAAACAAAAGGATTGTCCTCATGACAAAATCACTCATGAAGAATGAGGGTTCTCATAATCACAACAAATATTTATGTATTATTTGATTAAATGGGAGAGAAAAGACAATCTTGGTGCAGTGTCAGAAGCAGACAAACATCCAACTCTAAAATTGTAATTTCATGTACATATACATATGTATGTGTGTGTGTATATATATATACAGTAGATCCCCCTATAAGACGGTAGATACGTTCCGTTCTTTATGAATCAATTTTGTAGGAATCATAGTTTACGGACTACGGCTGTTTGAAAGGTTTTCTTTCATAAAATTAATCGATTCTAGACTAATTCGACTCAACATTTCCAAAATACGTATATTTTTTTGAAAATAATCCGTATAAACTACGTTATAAACAAAAAATTGTAGGATTGCTTACCGAGTGTGTACCGTTCGACTACGCCCGTTGCTAAAGCTTGGTTTCGTCGCGGAACAGCGCATCAAACCGCGGCCGCGATTTCTGATATTATTTTTCTGCGAAAACTTCGTTGACCTTTGGAGACATCCTTAATATAAATAATTTTTATGGCCGTTAAATAAGAAATGTTTCTTTCACAAGAAATGTATAAAATTACAGTACTGGACAGACGATAGGTCGCCTAACTCGCCGTAGCGTGACGCTAGACGGCGAAAAATATATATTTAATTATAATAAAGTTACAATAAATTAAGTTAATATATAATTATATATACAGTACCTAATTTATATATAATTAATATATAATTATATGTACAGTACCTAATTTATATATAATTATATGAACAGACGATACTAAACTCAATTTATCCGCCTAAACGTCCGTAGCGTGGCGCTACGGACGGCGGGAAAGTAGTTCGGCTGCCCGATGACGTTTTACATATTATAGGAGTTATTTTTACCGTTGTTTACGGATACTGCCACAATTTTTATAGGAATCATAACTATAGGAAACGGTTTTATAGGGGGATCTACTGTATAATATATATACATACACTTTTAAAATTGTGTTAAATTATATACTTTTGTTGTTTTCGAACACCATATAGTTCAGTAGTTCAGACACACAACACAAGGTAATCTTCATTTTAAATTTATTTAATTTTTAGTTGATCGTGTTGGAAAATGACAAAAATAATCACCAACACGGTTTCAAGAAAGTAAAATAAATTATATACACTTCATTCCATGTAATTCAGCCACCAATTAATTCAGACAGTCCTTTTTCCGGCCAAATCTCAAAAAATAAAAACCAAACTAATAATCTAATACATAATTTAAACACTTAATTGGCACAATAGCAGAAAACGAATTTGGCAAGTTCCGTGTTGCAATTGCCACTAAACGTTGGTGTTCAGATATGCGAGCAGCCAGCATTCTGGTAGTTGCTTCTATATAATTGGTGCATAGTCCAGGGTTTTATACAGGCGTTTAAAAAATCAACAATAATTCTACACCCCTTTCCCGCACCTCCTATATGAATTAAGGCGCATACGTGTCGGCCTCTTTATGTGCATTTTATTTTTATATGTTACGCATGTTTTATGTATTTAAGTTATGTCACGATTTTATATTTAAAATTTTAATGTAAACTTTCACTTATGGCTCTATTCTGATCGGCTTCTATGCTGTATGTTAAGGCGCATGCGTGCAAAAATTTTATACGCATTTACAAAATGTTTTTAATTCAAAATCTAAAAATTTACTTGTTCTTAATAGCCATTCCAATTGGCTTTTATGTTATACATATTAAGGAGCACACGCGCCAATTTTTCGCGTTTACAAAATAATTAATAGCCATTCCAATCGGTCTTTATTTGTTTAAAATGCATGCACACCAAGTTTAAATATTTATTTCTAAAACTTAAATCTTATTTATAATAATATTCCAAAAACAGCTAAAATTGTTAATGTTTAAATCTAAATGTTCGGTTCGAATTCTCCATTCGATTTTGAATTGCCTGAAGACGACGTAGATATTTACGTTGAAAACGCTTGCAAGATTAAAATATTTCTTCTAATTTTATTTAACGCCTCATAGTCTGAAGTTTCTTAATGAAGTTTTTGATTAAGTTAACTGTTGGCGTGACATCTGAACCGAGTATTTAATACACCTAACAAGATGAGTAACAGAATTTAGATGTACTTCTTTTCTATGTTAAATTTGCAAAAGTTATGGCATAAACTACATGCCCAACTAGTCTTTCTGCTGAAGTGTAGAGCGCATCATATAGTTCCGAAGTGCATAACCATTAACTACAGGGCCTTTCCTTTGTCTGCGAGGTACTTTGAAACAAATGGAAAAATCTCTCCTTTTAAAATTAAAGTGAAACGCAAATCATTGGCTGAAGTGGAACTTAAGTTATAAGTTGCCCATCTGCAATTTCCCAAGTCTTGTGACCCGGTTTCACTCTACAACCAACTTGGAAAGATTCATAGTATGGCATCGAAATTTGCCTGAGATGAAAGAGCTAAACTAAACAGGAAATTCAAGTGGCTTTGTAATGCGACACGCAAGTGACAAAATCCAGTGCAGCCAACCCAATTTCACAATTACACAGAGGAAATTGTTCCATCTCGGATTGAAAAGATTTTACAACAGAAACCCAGGTATATCCCTCCGCCACAAAATATGAGCGCCACGGAAATGGTTCCAGCGACTCTTGCAGCACTCAAGTGCTGCCAAGTGGCAACAAAATATCTGCAAATGGAACTCTCAATCATCTCGATACTTTCCTCAGTAAGACAAAATTCCGCTCGAACTAAACAAAGTCCCAGTGACCACTATGTGAAACGGTACTTATCAACTGCCAACATGAGACTTCTGATATCAGACAAGGACAAGAAGTTCATTCTATGCAGGGAGGAAGACTTTTTACGCAGGGCCACAAACTTTCTCAACCAGCTGCAAGCTGTCATCTTACCGGAAGACCCAACACCATCTGTGTTAAGAAAAAGAAAGAAAATAATTACTCTCCCAGGAGTTACTTCTGTTCTTTCGGGATGCCTGGATCCCCCATCTAACATCACTTGCCCCAGACTTTTCTTTGAGGCAAAAACGCACAAAAAGAGCTGGCCGTTAAGGCCTTTAGTCAATAAGCGGTCCCATCCGACATACTTCCTTGAAAAAGCGCTTGCTAGATTGCTAAGTGGGCTACTTCCTCCCTTCTTCCAAGTAGTGTCCTCATCTGTCACGGCTAAAGAAAGGTTATGCGCTACGCTGGCTGGCTTGAATCCAGATAGTTACACATTTTATAAAATGGATGTTGTTGCGTTGTACCCTTCAGTACTGCACTTCGAAGCGGTGATGCTAGCCAATACCTTACTTATCAAAGAGGGCTTTACTGCACAACAAGTTTTAGAAGTTTGCGACGCATTGCTCTTTGTTACGGAGCACAATTACTTCTGCTTCAATGGAAAGATTTATCTGCAGAAACAGGGAGTGCCGATGGGCTCACCACTGTCAGCTGTATTGGCAGAACTTATCATGCGGCATGTTGAACACAGCATTTTTAAAGTCCCTCTCACTATAGCTTACCCCTTAATTTATTTAAGATACATAGATGACATTATTTTGACGTGGCAGGATACGGAAGACTCCTTCCAGGTATTAGAACATCACTTATCAAAAATGTATACCTTTATACACGTCACTTGGGAGAAGTTGAGAGAAGAATCGCTTTCTTGGACTTGCACATTCACAAATCCCAAAAAGGCTTGGAGTTTTCCGTTTATCACAAGTTTGGCAATATCCCACCCACAATACCGGCCACAGCCTGTCAATCACAGCAATACGTTAATGCGGCCATAGCTCCCTTGATCAGACGGGCATTCTTACTACCATCGACATAGCATCTTATCAATACTGAACTGGAGGCCATCAGCACAGCGGTGTACGCAACGGGATTAAGTTCCTCCAAATACATCCATGTTAAGAATAGAGTTATGCAGTCTCTCTTCCCTGCCACCACATTACGCAGACCAAGGGATTGGACAACACTTCGTCCCTCACTCCCATACTGTGGACACTTTACGGCCCAGATCTGCCAGATCTTCATTTACCTATAGCCCCACAACCATGTCTGCGACAAAGCAGAAAACAAATTTAACAAGATTTTATATATTTTAGGAATTTTTAAAAAATATATGTCAACACTACATATACGAATACTTGGCTACATTAGTGTGATATAAATCAGTAATCTATCATCGTGAGTCTGGCAAGTATGCATCTGCTTAAGAGTAGATCTAAAGTTACTGTAGTATTGTACCTAGAATATTCATTTACAGTGTCAATTTTATTAAAAAATTTTAAATCTGCCAAGATAACAAAAAATGATTTTACATTCGCAAAACTGTTTTGCTGGATACATTTTAAACTAGCCATTGAATACATGCAATTATAAACTTGCTGATATAATTAAAGTACAAAAATCTACCATTGCATGTTTCATACAACAAAAGCAACTGCATAGTAGTGGGCATTACAAAAAGATAAATGAAAAAAAATCCAGAAATTGAAAAAGCATTACATCAATAATTTTCCATAGTTAGCAAGCAAGTGTGAGATTCTAGCCGGGGGACGTCCACTAAGATTGTTAGTACCACTTAATCGGCGGCTAGTTGTTGAAACTAGATCTCTGTCGTCTACAAGAAGGCTTTTCCTAATCTTAGGAAATCAAGTACAGAGGGACTTAGAGCCTGTACACACTAGGCGTTTTTCAATGCGCGTTAAGCGCACGTTAGCTCGGCGTTCGACGAGCGTTTAGCGAAGTGTGCACACTGGCTCGGTTTGAAAATGGATGTGGAAATGATTGCTTGTGTGTGGCTCCTCTATTGTCGCTATAAAAAACGATGGCAGAGGCAAAGAGAATTTTGGGTGCACCCAATATTACGAGATAGACTGACGCATGAAATGTTTGTGACGTTGTATCCAAAACTAAGACAAAATAAATTCAAGTTTTTTAATTCTTTTAAAATATCTATAAAATCATTTGACNAGAATTTTGGGTGCACCCAATATTACGAGATAGACTGACGCATGAAATGTTTGCGACGTTGTATCCAAAACTAAGACAAAATAAATTCAAGTTTTTTAATTCTTTTAAAATATCTATAAAATCATTTGACGATGGTTGGTCTCTCTTAGATTTCATCAATAAATAGATCAGTATCGAAATGATCGTTCTCCATTTCAGCATATATATCTCAAAGCGCTCGGCTGACGCCCACAAAACGCGCGATCGCATGTACGGTAACATGGCAGCACATATATCTCAAAGCGCCCGTAAAGCGCTCGCAAAACGCGCGTTTTAACAAAGATCTATAAACGTGTGTTAAACGCGTGCTTGGCGTTTGAGTGTGTACGCTTAGGTAGAACTCTTGGTTCTTTAAAACACGCGTTGAAAAATGCCTAGTGTGTACACAGCCTTATAGTTAGAATAAATTTAAAGCGGAATTTGGTGATGGCGAATTCACCTTCTTCCTTGTCAGGATCCCGACACCAGTTAATCAAATTTAGATACACAGATTAACACGCGTGTGGAGATAATATGGATTTGATTCAGATATTGAATAAGAGACATTTTTTTAAAAATTATGAAAGAATTTTATAAAATAAAAGTAAATAAAACTACACAAATGGAATTATTCAAAAATAAAATTAAGCGAATGAGAGACAATGGATGAATTAAATATACACTTCGAGAGAGATCTCACAAATTCATTTATAATCACACTACCTCAAAGTTTATGTTCATCTGTATTCGATGACCATCTTTCATTTCATTGATTTGGCACAATATTAAGTTTTGAGGGGTCTTGATTTGGCACAATATTAAGTTTCTTCTTTTACTCCTAAATTAAGTTATTATTCTACTCTATGAGATACAACTCTGGCGTTGGCCTTATGGAGACAATATATGGGAGACGTCTCTCCTCTATGAGATATTCCGACGTACTCCTAACTAAGGACGTTGGCCTTAGGGAGACAATATAGGAACTTTCCAATATGAGATTCCCCGACGTACTCTCTGAATCATGCAGATCTTTGACTATATCTCGTGATTTGTGACCAATCAGCATATTTGAATTCTCTCACGTGAATGGATAAAATGAAGAATTATTGAGGGGTCAACAATTCCCATGGTGGTGAGATTTGTGTTAGATAAGTGGAAAACAAAAGAATGTGTCTACTTCCGTTAAAGGAAGTGGCTCTTAAGTATCAGTTTTCCCACGTTAAAAAAACAATATTTTCACACCAAAACTGAAAAAATATTTTATTTCATAAATTTAATTTTATATTTAAATTCTTAATTAGACCCAGGGGCTATTCAAATCTCACACAAAACAAGAATATCAGCAGCCAAGTGTTAAAAGTGAAGTAAGAACAGATGACTAAACAGATGAACCACAAAAATTTTAAAGCAACTGATGGTTTTAAAAACTTCATTTTATATAATTTAAAATTATTTATAAAGGTTAACTTTCAAAATATATATGTTTCTAATTTTGCAGTTAAAAATTCCAATGAAGTAATAAGTTGAAAAGATATTATATAATTTACACCAACATATGAAATTTTAAAATTACATATACAGTAGTTTCAATATACCTTTCAGTAAAATGAAATAAAATAGAAAATAAGTTAAATACTTTAAATCTATCAATCATACTTTTACTTCTAATGTTGTTTAGGTAAAAACTGTACTTGTAGCAATACATTCTTTTGAATGTATTGCTCTTGAACTTGTAGCAATACATTCTTTTGAATGTATTGCTACAAGTTCAAAAGTTTTAAAAATATCCTTCGTAACAATCTCTCTACTTTTTATTTTGTAAACTTAATCAATCAGATGTGCAGCTCATTTGTATTTGAAAAAATACTTTATGACAAAAATGGTAGACAGTTTACCACAATGATTCATTATAAATTATTGCATTAAAAACTAACTTAGCTAAATATATGCAAGCATTTGAACTGCATTATTGCAACACTTTACTCATGAGTTTTGAGTTAATCGCATTGGCTTTTAAAAAAGTTAATTCATTCTTCCATAACCAAAAGAATTTGTCATTTAGTGATGTTATGCCTACTTCTTAAGAAAATTTGCTTTAA